TCCAGAGGGAAAAGATTTCTGAAATAGTAAAATGGGACCTTGTGGCTTTCTTTCTTGCCCTAAAGGACACAATTGTTCACATTAATTTGTTTGAGCAATGGATGGATAATGAAATTATTTTCACTCATGACTTGATTACGTGTCGCCTTGATAATTACAGATTTTAGAACACCTACAGTTCATTTGTTAAATGTGTGAATTTTATTTTACAGCTCTATGAAAAAGTTGCGCTTTTTCTGACCAATTTAGGTAAGTGAAACCCTTTTTCTTTCATGGTACAGTATTGTGGTCTGAAAAGTACCTTTTCAAAGATTCATTTTTGAAATGCTGCTGAAAATAAATACAGCATTCCCTTTATTTTGAGTTACACACAGCAATTTTATTGCCCTCAGCCGGACATTTTAAATATGCCTAATCATCGGGGGGTCTTTTCAATCAAAAGATTTAAAGCCTGTCACTAACTTGATCTATCATGAGCTAATGTAAAGTAGGTTTTCTTTTAATACACAAAATACATACTGTCCCCAAAGTACATGCGTAGAAAGTGCCCAGAATCAGTTAGAAAAGTGCCCGTTTGCTACTGCCTATAATTTTTATTTATTCACTAGTAACAATGTACCACGTTTCCATGGGATATAAAAAGCACGGCAGAGTAGTTGCTTTCAAGACTGCAGTCCTTCTACCGGGAATGTGGGCAGGCGAACCATCACTGACACATAAAAATAACATTCACCCGGACGAGTCATAAAAAAAAAAAGATGTCATTTTTTGAGGCCTGCTATGTACCAGATTCAGAGGTACACATGTGGCTTGTTTCCCTTAATGTCATTGAAATTTTCCAGCATCCCTTACCAAAAAGATAGAAAGAGGTAACTCTGCCTTGGTAGGCTGTACCCAGAGGCACCTTGATCCAGGCTGGCAAAGATGCCAGGGGAGATACGGCCCAGTCCAGCTGTGGTGGGGACACCTGGGAACCTGCCCAGCTGGCTGACAACCTGGGAGACCTTCCTTGTAGCCAAGAGTTCAGTAGCAGGAGTGAAATAAAGCTAAAACCCTTTGTTCTTTTCTTCCCTCCACAGCAGTGCAGCCTTGCTTCCGAAGCTGACATATCAACCATTTTCAATCAGATCTTCTTTCTCTCTCCCCTCCTTTCTCTGATAGGCTCCTAGGAAGCAGTTTGAGCTATAATTTCATGGAAAAGGAATGCATGGGTTGAAATGGTAATCGAGCAATTAGAAGCTCGGGGAGCCCTGACCAGTTTGGCTCAATGGATAGGGAGTCAGCCTGCAGACTGAAGGGTCCCAGGTTCAATTCCGGTCAAGGGCATGTACCTTGGTTGCAGGCACATCCCCAATTGGGGGTGTGCAGGAGGCAGCTGATCGGTGTTTCTTTCTCATTGATGTTTCTAACACTCTATCCCTTTCCCTTCTTCTGTAAAAAAATCAATAAAAATATATTTTAAAAAAAAGAAGCTCAGGGAATGTGGAAACAGAGAAAGTGTGGTTGCATTACATGTTTTCTTTGGTCTTGCTGGGGGTGAGGACGCAGGTCCTGGGGGAAGGATCTGTGCATTTGACATGAGCTGCCACGTTGGAGGTTTGGTCCGCACTTACAATATTCAAAGAGTGTTTGCTTTGTGGAAGTCAGGATATAAGGAGGTGAGGATTGGCACCTGAGTGAGGTCGGGAAATTATAAGACATAGATCAGCGGTTCTCAACCTGTGGGTCGCAACCCCTTTGGGGGTCGAACGACCCTTTCACAGGGGTCGCCTAAGACCATCGGAAAACACACATATAATTACATATTGTTTTTGTGATTAATCACTATGCTTTAATTATGTTCAATTTGTAATAATGAAAATACATCCTGTATATCAGATATTTACATTACGATTCATAACAGTAGCAAAATTACAGTTATGAAGTAGCAATGAAAATAATTTTATGGTTGGGGACCACCACAACACGGGGAACTGTATTAACACATTTCGTACCGCTCAGTTTTCTCGTGTTTCGTGCAGCATCTGTTAAGGACCGCTCACGAGTGTTCTCGTTTTTCACGCCCATGGAAAAAGGAGCGAATCTAGATACTTGTGTAAATTTTGTTTAGTCCCTCTTCATAGAGGAAAATGTTTTATGCAGTACCATAGGTTAAAAAAGTACTAGGAACTTAATTGTTTAATTGTTTGATTGTTTTTGTAAATAATGTTATAATTATTGAAAAACAACACCTAAAGTGCATTATGATGATTTAAATAACGTGCAGTTTGCCCAGAAATGTGCGGTCCCTGGCGTATGTCTTAGAGATTTCTATGCAGTATGCAATGTGTTAAAGGGTCGTGGCATTAGGAAGGTTGAGAACCACTGACATAGATGATGATATACAGTAAAAGCTGTAAAGATGAGGTCGTCTTGGTTAGTTGTCCGTGAGAGTGAAACACGAGGGCTGAGGATGACAGGTAGTCAGATGCTCTCAGCACTCAGATGGGGATCTGACGCCCTCTCCCCATGAGCATCTGGTATTTCTTCAGCAATAAAAGTCAAGGCCAAGGAACTATTAGGAACTGGGAGAGGACCTGGCGCCACTCAGGCCTTACCCATAGGCAGAGACTAAGAGCAAAAGGAAAGTCTTCTGCAGGGAGCCAAGCCTGGGAATGAGGCTCCTTCAGCCCCACTGTCTCTACTCCAGGCTCTCAGGTCCCTGTGTCCGTGGAACAAACTGGATATTCTACCCCTCAGCCAATTCAGTAGCCGCTTCCCACCAAACCCTTGTTGGGCTGGTCTGCAAGTTTGAGGATCCCATGGATGGGCCACTGAGGCCCCATCTATAGGCAAACTGGGCCTCCTTAGCCCGCCTCTGCTCCCACCCTGTGTGTATGGGGAAAAGGACGGGGGAGTGAAGCAGGCATCCGAGGCAGCCTTCAAACTCGGCTCCCTTTTTGTTCACAGAACAGCCTCGCACGGAGTCGGAGTGGGAGAACAGCTTCACCCTGAAAATGTTTCTTTTTCAGTTTGTCAATCTGAACAGCTCCACGTTTTACATCGCGTTCTTCCTCGGAAGGTAGGAATCAGATCTCCCCACACTTCTGGGCCGGGGACAGAAAGCTCAGGGGTCACCACTGGCTGCGGGGGCAACAGGGGAGCTCCTTTCGTGTGATCTGAACAGATGGGATGGGGATTGGGTTTTGGTCAGATGAATGCAGCAGCCTCGCCACAGTATTAAGTGCTTCAGAATGGAATCCTAGTCAAATCATTTGATTGAAAAAAAAACCAGCATTAGTGTTATTTCAAAAGATCAGAATGTGTTTCAGTCCACTTTGCTGCTTACACAGGCCTTGCCCACAGGCAGAGACCAGAGCACTTAATATTCAACAGAAAATGTCCAGAGTCACAGCCAGCAATGAGAACTGTGCCTGGCAGCAGACAGAAAGGTGAGAAGAGGCAGTTCCCCTGGAGAATTCCAGAAGCTCCGTAGAGTTTCCTTAATTCCCTCAGACCTGTCACTGCACCAGTAATTCAATGAGAACTGTGCCTGGCAGCAGACAGAAAGGCCAGAAGAGGCAGTTCCCCTGGAGAATTCGAGAAGCTCTGTAGAGTTTCCTCATTCCCTCAGACCTGTCACGGCACGAAGATTTGCAGGACACCCAGGTGCCTACTTGAGGCTGATAAACCGGTGGAGACTAGAAGAGGTCTGTATTCTCCCATCATTCCTTGTTTCCTGAAGGCCTGCATTAAACTGCATCAACAAAGGGCAACTTTGTGCAGATTAGAAACCAGATACCGTTTCTTCCTCTCCGTTGATTCTTGGATTTCTGTGTTTGCTTACCTCCCAGTGCCACCCCAGTGGATGCCTTATTGACCTCTGTATGCAGATGGGTATTATAATGGTGCTAAAGCAGACCTGGAATAATTTCATGGAGCTTGGCTACCCGTAAGTACCTTCATGTCTGTGCTTGAGAGGCAGCGTTGCTCATTATGGCTTTTCTAGGCATGGAAGTAAGATAAGCAGTGCAGACTCAGCAGCTCAGCCAGGGCCTGTCCTTGGAGCTAAGTGGTTATGCTCAAAGACATTCATGAAAATAACTAACATTGGCCATGGCTGGTGTGGCTCAATTGGTTGAGCATCATCCCGTGCACCAAAGGGTTGCTGGTTCAATTCCCAGTTAGGGCATATGCCCGGGTTGCAGGTTCGGTCGCCAGTGGGTGGCGGGCAGGAAGCAGCCAGTCAAGATTGTTCCGCTCTCACATCAATGTTTCCCTCTCCCTCTAAAATAATCAATTTTTAAAAAGTCTTTGCCATAACAAAAATAATAATGATACACACTGGCTCTTCTGGAAGACTTAGCACAAGTCCATGAGCAAAAGTGAATACTTTTTAAGAATATTGAGCCCCTCAATATGGGACACTTGCATGCACACTGCTTCCGGTGATGTCTCTGACGCTCTAGCGCCAGCATTACAAATCTCTGTAGCACGTTAACTAGATCTCTACTCGCCCATCCCTGAGATAAGTCAGGCACAGCAATTTTTATAACTACATTCAGGCTGTACAGAAAAGAAACTTGTGGGAAGGAGCAAAGTTTAGGGATTCAGAAAAAAAAAAAACCTGAGTATGACGAAGTCAGCATATCTTAATCAGGAAAAATATTATTACCTGGTGCTAATAGTTTATGTTGATGACAATGGGCAGGAACTCACATCACTTCTGCAAGGATAACCTTGAATTCTGCTGTGTTTGCTCAGCTCTGGTCAGTTACATTTTAAAGGGACATAAGTCAGCAACACTCCTATTTCTGCTTTAATTAGACACCTACTGATTTCTGTGTCAGCTCGGTGTCTCCATAGATGTCTTTAGGGGCCCACGGAGGACCACTTAACCCGAAAAATTAGCTGGAACTTGGTTCATTTTGAAAAGTGATCTCTTATCTTCCTACCAGAATCACTACTGGCATTTTCTCTTCTAGGTTTATCTTTAGAAAACTTATTCCAAGTGTTTCATGTTTTCTATAAAACATTTAAAAAAATAAAGCATAAAATCAAACCTTTAGAAGCATTATTTTAAAGTTTAAACCATAATTTATCAAAATGTCATGGATATCAAGAGACCTATTTTTATTGTTTAATAATGTAGACATAGAGCAAAACTGTGAAGTAGGCAGAGTTTGTCTTTGAGACCCAGCCTCTCACTTCCTTTATTTCACGTTTAGTTTTTGGCATGTCTACTCCCAGAAACCTTCAACCCTTTCCTTATCCCGAACAGCGCACAGACCTGCCCCCCGCCCCCCAGTTCCTCAGCCCTGTTCCATATAAGATGCGCTCCCAGGCACTGCTAAGGATTAATGTGCTGACCTACCCAGGGTGACGTGCATTTTATTGGGAGTCAGAGCCTCTGTCGAGCTCAAGTCCAAAGCAGGCCAGTCCGGCTGTGGAACTGCAAGCTTCCATGTGCCAGAGAGGAAGCATTCTGTGGGTTTGCAGATTTCCTAACCTCCTCTCCCCCGGCCCCCCGCCCCCGGCCACTGCCCAGGTTAGCACCCATATGATGAGACTGCTCATGGCTCTTAAATTAAGCCAGTGAGGCCACATCTTCCTCTTCTCACGTATCTGGGTGTTGCTTTATAGATAGGGGGTAGTTTATAGATGTTCTTGGTCCTTTTTCTAACCCTCATAGACAGCACTGATCTCATGACAGTTTCGTGAATGACTCAACTAAGTTCATCAATCATTCTGTTTACTCACGTGAATCACAGCCTCCCTTGTTATTTTCCAAGGCTTTCTTTCCTTAGCAGCCTGTCCTCAATTATTTTTTTTTTAAACTGTGAGTCTATATTCAAACGCTTCTATGTCTAACTTAAGTCCTACGAACAGTTACATGTTTTTTTAAAGACACTAACCTTGTTGTGCAGGTTAATTCAGAACTGGTGGACTAGAAGAAAAGTGCGACTAGAGCATGGGCCCGAAAGGAAAATAAGATTCCCACAATGGGAAAAGGACTACAATCTTCAGCCGATGAATGCCTACGGACTCTTTGATGAATACTTAGAAATGAGTATGGAAATATTCTACTTCATCCTTTATCCTAGTCCATAGAAATGCAAATTCTAGCTCTCTGGCTACACTCAACTAAGCATATGTCAGTTATTATCTAGGCCAGGGGTCGGAATGTCCGGCCCACAAAATTACTTGGTCTGGTCCTGCTAAGGCACCACAGGTGGGATTCGAAATTCAATAAATCTAGGAGCTTTTTTCATAGCAACATAAATTTATATTAAGTGAATTACAATAAGCGAATGTTGTTATAAATATCCAAATGGCCCTTGGCAGAAAAAAGGTTCCTCACCCCTGATCTAGACCATC